TCACAGGGCCACGAGAAGATACTTTGACAAATAAGTAAAAATTCGTTCAATCGAAGTAGGGGACCTGGTGCTAAAAGCGAGAAAAAAGCAAACCTCTCGAAGGTGGAAAAATAGCACAAAATTGGGAAGGCCCCTATCAAATATGCAAGAAGTATGCTTCATGAACGTTTGGCCTACAATGTACCGAAGGTCGACTGGCAGGCACATGGAATACAGAACATTTAAGGAAGTTTTATCAATAAAAACGGTTGTTGCCACCTCTATAAAAAATGTGTGTATATATGTATATAGAGAGGGAGACATAACTTCCAGAAAATCTCAGCCCATGGTTAACACGATCATTCCGGATGACCGAATGACGAACGGGTTAACAACATGGAAGGAAAATCATTCTCAGCTAAGAAAGTTTTGACCCTAGATTTATGAACGGATAAAGGGATCAAAACGGCTTGAAAAATCGATGCTCAGAAAATCTCATCCCATGGATAACACGCAGTCATTCCGGATGACCGAATGACAAACAGGTTAACAACATTGAAGGAAAGTCATTCTCAGCCAACGACTTGGAGTTTGACACTCAGATAGTCTCATCTCAGCGGTTAACATGGGAATCGTTCTGGACAATCGAATGAGGAACATGTTAGCAGTTTGGAGGGAGCCATTATCTCAGCTAATAGAATTTGACCCTGTAATTACGCATTGTTAAAGGGATCAAAAAGGCCTGGAGTTTGATGTCAGTGATTCTCACCTCAGCTTTTTAACACGCAAAATCATTCTGGATGACCGAATGAGGAACGGGTTAACAATTTGGAGGGAGCTGAGTCATCAACTTAGCTAAATTCGACCCTGTAATTACGTCCGGATAAAGGGATCAAAACGGCTTGGAGATGGTGTCAAGATTATAAGTATGGACGAACCGAGCGACGTTCGGATAAGGTACGGATTGTCGTCCGGGGAATCGAAACTATGGTTTTGAAAAATCTCGCCTCAGTCATTAACTTGATTTGGAAGCGAGTCGCCCTTTTAGCTATAAATAAGGAATGACCCGATCCGGTGACCTTGCTTACAGTTTGAAAAGGGTTACCTCAGACCCCTAATATGGATGATACGAGCCAGAGAGAATAGTTCAGAATGCATCGGAATTATGGGTTTGGAAAGGAGATAGTCTCACCTCAGCTTGTTAACACGTGGGATCATTCTGGATGACCGAATGACGAACGGGTTAACAGTTTGGAGGGAGCCGCCGTCTCAGCTGAGAGTTTGACCCTGTGGTCACGATCAAAAAGGCTCGGAGGAATTCACCTCAGCTAAAAGAGTTTTGACCCCGTGGATCACGAACGATAAAGGGATCAGAACGGGCTTGGGAAAGGTGTCAGAACAAATATGGAAAAGACCCCTAATATGGATGATACGAGCCAGAGAGAATGATTCGGAATGCATCGGAATTATGGGTTTGGAAAGGAGATAGTCTCACCTCAGCTTGTTAACAAGTGGGATCATTCTGGATGACCGAATGACGAATGGGTTAACAGTTTGGAGGGAGCCGCCGTCTCGGCTGAGAGGTTGACCCTGTGGTCACGATCAAAATGGCTTGGAGGGATTCACCTCAGCTAAAAGAGTTTTGACCCCGTGGATCACGAACGATAAAGGGATCAAAACGGGCTTGGGAAAGGTGTCAGAACAATTATGATCAAAACGAACGACGTTCGGTAACATGGATTGTCATCTGCAGAATCAGAATTCCTAGATAGATGACTGAATGACGAACGGTTTGGAGGAAGACATTATTTCAGCCAAAAGAATTTGACCCTGATTTTATGACCGAACGGAGGGATCAAAACGGCTTGGAAACAATGTCAGAAATATAAAGATACATGAGCCGAGTGATGTTCGGCAACACAGGAAAGATTATGAGCGAGAGAAATCAAAGAAAAAACAGAAGAGAAACATCAACACAGTTAAAGAAAAATGTCCAGTTTATTCTTCGGCATTACTAGCCGGAATATACAAAAGAAAAAGACAAGAAAGCAAAATATTACAAGGCTATGCTACTGGAGGACTGCCGTTCGGGGAAGGTGGAGGTTGGGAGCTCCCTGCCTGCGCTGCATCATCAGGCACTGCTTTTGTCCTCTTCTCCATGATCCGGTCATAAGTGTTCCCGAACAGATAATCAAAGCCCAATTCATCAGGATCGAACGGCTTAGGGAAATGTTCCAAGATCAGATCGAGGTTCCTATCTAAAAGCAGATCCTGACTTTGCGTCACAGTTTTCTCGATCAGGACATCCAGAAAAGATTTCCCTTCCGGCGTGCTGTCCAGGAGTTCGATGCCTGCCTTGATGGGATCTTCACTTTCGCGCAAAAATTGGCCTAGATGAGGTCCCAGGAATTGTCGGGCTGTATTCTCCAGAGCAACGTTCAGCCCTTTGCCCCGTTGGTAATCGACTATCGATTGATTGGCAATCTGGGAAATATTGGCACTATAAGGCTCGAGAAGATTGTCACCAATGACCTTATCGAATTTGATCCCGGTAGATTCGGCAGCCCGCACCTTGGCCCGGAGTTCCTTAATCTCCCGATCGCGACGTCGGGTCTTCTCTTGCATTGCAGCCAGGGCAGCCTTTGCTTTCTCACCCTCTTTGGCGCGTTCTTGTAAATTCGCCGCTAATTTCCGAGGGGCAGAAAGAAGGACCTGGCTATCATCCCGATCACTAGCCAGGAGTTTCATTTCCTTTTCAGCCGCAAGAAAGGCCTTATGATAGTATACACCGGCCTAAAAACAAGTTCCAAATGAAGTCAGATAAGATAAACAAATAAAAAGTAGGAAGGTATGAATCAGAATGAAGCATACCTTGAGTGCCTCTTGATGACATGCTTCAAGAAGATCAGACCAGTGAGTCAAGTTCGTGAAACTGGGGGGAACCTTCAGCGAAGTGCTGCACCACATGGATGATGGCATGAGCCCGAACAGGTATCTTCCTTCTGCTCTGGGTCCCATGTTTGAGAACTCAACAAACATCCGATCATCGACCGACGCATCAGAAAGAGCCGGAGTTTTCGGCTTGGCGGGCATAGATCTTTTTGGCTCAGCCTCCGATCCGGTCAAGTCGACTACGTGATCGACCGGGATCAGTATGTTGCCATCATTCCCCCTGCGTTTCTTCCGGGTCTGCTCAGCAGATGCATGATCGGCAATCATCTTCTCCTTGCCCTTTCCGGAGGAAGCTGTCAGAGTAGCGGAAGATATGGAACGCCGAACGGGTATGGGGGATATCACGCCTACAAGGGAATAAGAGATAAGAAACTAAATTGAAAGAAGGAAGGACGGTCGGGTTAAAATCCTATTACACTTACCAATCCCGGCAGATAGCATGTTAGAAGGGGTAATAAAACCCCGAAGACTTCGAGTTCCTCCCATACGCAGAGATTCAGCTTGGGAGCGCAGAACGGCATCTACTCTGGGCTGAGAATCCCGAACGGGATAAGCGTTCCACCTATCCGGAATTGGCAAAGAATCACCTACCCGAACGAATAGAAATCGCTCCTCCCAGTCAGCCGACGGGGTAGGATTATCTGTAAACAATTGACGATCAGATCGGGCTACCAGCTTCAGGTATCCGGTCGTCCAATAAGGCTGATAGCAGTAGTGATGAAGAAATAAGTCAACACTTGGAGCGATCCTCAGTTCCTGGCATCGAATTATGAAGCCTGTCAGGATGCGGTAAGTACTAGGGACGAACTGAGCGGGCAGTACAGAAACCCGACGCAGGAACTCTACGACGAACGAATGGAGGGGGAAGCGAAGCCCAGCAATTAATGCATCAAGATGCACTAGCACGTGTCCCGGTCGATGCCTCATTGGATGCCGGATGAATCCAACATAATACTCTCTTGGTGGAGGCAATAATTGGCCAAGTTGCCGTTCGACAACTTCAGGAAGGCGTTGTTTTTGTTTACGAATGCGGTTAAAGTGCAGAGCAATGCGGGGTGGCCGCTCGGGCATTCCCTTGTTATAAATCTGAACGTCGTCCCCTGATAGGCATCCGTCATCACGTGGCTGTTCGGTGTCTTTTCCTGCGAGAGGATTGCCGTAATTAGGTACTTGGGAAGAAGAGCCTTCGGCCTTGTTCCCAATAAAAGTTTTTCCTACACGAATCAACGACATTTCTTCAGATTCTGAGCTAGAAGGGAAATACATAAAATCACTTGAGGAATCCTGAGAATTCTAGAGAGAGAAAGCTTGAAGATATGCAAGAAAGCTTAGAAGGAAAAACTAAGGAAACAGCAAGAAAAATGAGGATCAAGCACCTCCCTATAAGTAGAGAAAGTGCCGCCCAAAAACCTAATCCATGAATAACACGTGGCATTGCGTGATTATGATTAATCAGGGTGTATTTATGGTTCATTGTTAAGCACGTACCCCGAACGGACAATGAAGAAGCATGATTGAGAGTACTGGTTAACCAGGCAAGCGAACGTCGAACGGGCACTTACGTTTTGAGGCAAATCTTTTCACACAAAGGAAAGCAACAAGGTCCATGAAAACGGCTAAATACTACTCAATTCGCCAATTAACGAGCAGTGAGCCAAATAACTAAGATGTTTCAAATTAGCCGAGTGACGAACGGGCTCACATAGAATTAGCAAAGATCACACTGAAACTGCTAAGTCCTAAAAAATGATCAGAAGCCCGAACGGCTATCAACATATGAAGGAAGCCAAATGCGGTAAACTGACGGAAACGTCTGAAGCCAGGAAAACTGTTAAGTCCTAAAAAATGATCAAAAGCTCGAACGGCTATCAGCATAAAAAGAAGGGGGCTAGTCCCTGGTAAATTGTCAGAACTATCTACTGCCCGAGCGGCGATCATACGGTGTTACGAGTGTTAAGTAAAAAATAGTCAGAAAACTGTCAAGTCCTACAAAACGGACCGAATCCCGAATGGTGAGCAATCATTCAATAAAGGCAAAAAAAGACAGTATGTGGAACTTGGTGCAAAAGAAATAATGTATATATTCATCGGCTCTATCGGCCGGAAAATACATATAAGGTTTGCAAAAAAGGAGAAGGGGGGAAGGGATTACAATTGTTAAAAACATCAAATCTACTGATCCACTCCATTATCTTCTTCCTCACCTTCCTCCTCATCTGAGTCAGTAGGGGGATCAGGCTCCTTCCCCGCTTTGCGATCAGCAGCCCGTTGCAAGTCCCGTTGATACTTCTCATACTGGGCTTCAACGATGGGCGCTTGAGGAAGGTCAGCCAGCTCGACCGGTCTCCCTAGCAATTCTTGCAGCTTGGCGACGAAGGGGGCCATGATGTGCTGGCAGCCCTTGACATAAAGAGATCGGGCCAGGGAGTCATTGAACTTTTTTCCCCTTGGATCCTGGTCGAGTAGTTTGACCCCCTCGCTCCGGCGGGCATCACCCGTGGAGAAACGCTCGAGATAATCACCAAAGGTGACTGGGAGTTCCTGTTGCGCATAATCTTTCTTCAAAATAGCGAACTCCTCAGACCCTTTGAATGATTCCCGGACGGCAGACAAATCAACCTTCACCTCAGCAGGGCCGTCCGGGATACGAGGGGCGTGCTCTTCAAACTTAACCAAGGCAGCTTCGGCAGCATGAACTTTGGATTGAGAGGCCCGAGCTGAACCCGGAGTTCACCAAGCTCTGACTCGAGGCGTTTTTTCTCCTCCGCAGAGGCTTTCCGTTCGGCTTCCAGAGCAGCAAAAGCAGCAGCTGCATTCTGCTCTGCTGAAGTCTGAGCGACGATCAGCTCCCGCTCCTTAGCCAGTCGAGCTTCTTTCAGCTGCAAACTGTAAAGCCCAACCTGCAGAATGTCGTTCGAGAAATGAGATGGTGTGAAAGGAAATTTAAACTATGAGAAATATAGAGAAAAGAGTAAAATACCTTCAGGGCTGCTAAGGCCAAGCATTCCTCGGATTGCTCGACCGACAGCTTAGGAACGGTGAAATTATTGAAGAAAGCGGAGGTAGACCAAATCTGGCTTGCTGAACATCCACCTCTTTCTACAACGTCATGAACCGGATCCGCCAGTGAGATCCGGTCGACCTGGCCAGACAGTTGGACGGTGGGCACATCACCCGCACCCTGACCGGTCTCCTTAGCAGCTTGGAAATGCTCAGGAAATTGGTGCATCTGGTCGGAACCAAACCGATCGTCGACCAGCATGGCGTCAAATTGGTCCTGATGGACCTGTTGCAGTGGCTCTGGAACTGGTTGAGAAGACCCAGCGTCCTGAGCAGTAATAGTGGAAGGAGTAGGTTGGGGGTTCTTCCTGGCTTTCTTCCGCTTGCCAACCCCACCAGCTGCAAGAACTCTGCTGTTGTCCATGGGTACGTCTGGATTTGGAGCTGAAAAATGACAAAGGAAAATATTAGTACCGAGCGGCCTTAGCATGTGAGAAACTAGAAAAAAGAAGAGAACGTTTCTCGCACGGGAAGGACTGCCCGGACCATGGCACTTGATTTCTCAAAACAAGTAAACCCAAGAGAACGGGCAGTACCTATCCCGGCTTCGATTAGCCGATCGGGAGTCAGATAACTCATGATATCCACGCATTTATCCTTCTCCACAGCAAGCACATCCTTGTAAATTTCTTCAGTAAGGACTGGATCAGGAGATTTGCGGGGAAAGGCATTCCATTTGCGAGGAACTAGGCCGTCCGGGACAGACACAAAGAAGAACCGATGCTTCCACCCCTTGATCGAAGTCGGATTGCCCTTGAACTGGATATGTCCCGTTCGGGCACTAGTGGCCAAATAGCCGTGTGTTTGTTGAGGGGCTACCTTAAAGAATTGGTGGAATAGATCTAAGGTTGGCCGGGCACCGGCATCTTTACAACGGCAAATAAAGTCCGCCATTGCCCGATAGGAGTTCGGCATAATTTGGGCTGGTACAATTTCGTAGAAATTAAAAAATGAAATGAAAAAAGAATGTAACGGAAATCTAAGCCCGGTCCTAATTGAGTCAAAATGAACTACAACCATCCCAGGCCTATGGCGCATTGGGTGAAGCCCAGCTCGCAGTCGGAAATTCACTGGGTCTGGGATTAGGGCCGGAATTTCGGCCCTATTGTGGGAGGTCAGTTTTTGCCGCCTCTCCCTAATCAGTTTTAGGTCAAGGGTATGACGAGGGAAATCGTTGGGACGTCCGGCCGCCATGGAAATTAATTCATTTTCGGACTTGGTATCATCGGAATCTCCACTGGAGGAAGAAGAGCTGCCGGAGGAATCATCCGTCTCCGCTCTAAAAACAGGTTACATTCGGCTAAAATAAAAGGACACATGAAATCGGAGTCAAAAGAACAAAAAGGTAAAAAGATAAGATAAAATAAAAAAGAGAAGATAAAGATAAAATAAATATCAATTTTTTTGTTTATTTTGTCTTAACTAAAATGGTAGATTTTGATTTTAGCCAGCGAGTCGTGAGTCACATTTATTATGAGTAAAATGTCATAATTAGTATGAATTACCTTACTCATCATTAATATATTTGTCATAATTCCATGACTTATTTGCCCAAAAGTTAATGAATCTCTCCAAATGTTTACCTCTAATGTCCTTTTCTAGCATTTCCATGGATAAGCTGAATTTTATTGCAATTGGACCTTATGATTTTGAGGGTGTGAATGAGCAAACGCACCCCAATAGTTGAAAAAACTCTCAACTGAAATAACCACCTGTAACGCAACTCAAATTAAAAAAGAACGAACCAGAATGAACACTTTAATTAGCATCCTAGCTGTAACGCTTTTTCCGGGCAACTCTGTGGAAGAATACGTTACATCTCCATCTCTCCCCAAATTCGTCTCTTCCCCTCTCATTGCTCGCCATCGAGAGCTCTCTCTCATAGCTCTCGATCGAGCTTTTGATTGTAAAAGGAAGAAGCAATTTGATCGCCTTTTGAGTTTTTGTATTTGGTGGAGATTGTGTTTATGCGATTGTGAGGGAAGTTAGCGAAATGGACGTGACAGCGCAGTTGAAACGGGGAATATCGCGGCAGTTCTCGACGGGTTCGATGAAGAAGAGCGGCAGGTTCAGCTTCAGGAGACAGAACTCGCTCGATCCCCGCCGAAATACTATGCGTTTCAGCTTCGGTAGGCAGTCGTCGCTAGACCCCATACGGCGGAGTGCCTCCGATGATGCCGAATTGCTGACGGTGCCGGAGAACCTCGACTCCACCATGCAGCTGCTCTTCATGTCTTGCCAGGGGGACGTAGAGGGAGTCAAGGAATTGCTAGATGAAGGAATTGATGTCAATAGCATCGATTTGGATGGCCGAACAGCTCTGCATATCGCGGCTTGCGAGGGGCATGTGGAGGTGGTGAAGCTTCTTCTCATCCGGAAGGCGAATATTGATGCTCGTGATCGATGGGGAAGCACGGTAAAGCTGGCTTCTACTGACTCTATTTTTTTTATTATTTGGCGGGATTATGTGAAGTTAATCCACCCCCTTTGGTAGAATTTACTCCGTATTATAATTGGTTCCACTTTCTATTTTTTGCTGCTATTTCAACGTTTTCCTAAAAGACATGACCACTTCTTCAAAAATTTACTACCTAGTACTCCGTACTACTTTTCAATAATATTTTTATTTTTCACTTTTTAACCGTATTCAATGCACCAAAGAACAAAGGACCTTTACTCTGCTTCAGGATTTTACTTGAATTGATCATGTATTCATGTGTAGTTATTGTTAATTGCCTCAAAGGCTCAAACTACAAATCTTCTACTCCTCGTGCATTATGACAGGCAGCAGCTGATGCCAAGTACTATGGAAATTCTGAAGTTTATAATATATTGAAGTCCCGTGGGGCCAAAGTTCCAGTAAGTGGACCAATTTCAAACTTTACATTCGAGCATTTGTTTTTTGGCACTAATTGGAGTCTATGCCAATTGCTAGAAAATCAGAAAGACGCCAATGGCTGTTGCTAATCCTCGGGAAGTTCCAGAGTATGAGCTCAATCCTTTGGAGCTTCAAATTCGCAGAAGTGATGGTATCAAGGCAAGATATATGTCATCTCAATTTACATTTTCTTCAAAACATAACAATTCTGCATTGCATATTTGCAAATTTAATCTATTATACATCAACCTAACATGCAAATTTTGGTCCCACGTGGGACATAAGTTAATGAAGAATTTCAATTTATTGGATTATTCTGTCCAGTTCCGTCACCCATGTTAGACAGTCTCTGGCATTATCATAACCCAAAGACCGGCTACACCTAGAAAACCATCACTTGTCTGATGTATTGAAAAAGAATAGGCTGAATTTATCACCTAGAAAATCATCACCTATTTGATGTAATTATAACTTGTGCATGATAACTAAATTTATATCTAGAGAACAGTAAGATATGGTGTGTATGGTTGAGCATCCATCTTAGTTATGGTTTGTGATAATGGGCAATAACTATCCCCAAGTCCCAAACTATATGGCCATATGCATTTGTATTTGTTTCTAAGTGTTTGAAAAGAGAACTAAGTATTATTAACTATTTTTACTCATCCCGAATGAATCTCGGCATGCAAGTTAATGCTTTCTTGGATTAGATAACATTATTGATTTGCATTGAGCAGGGATCGTATCAAGTTGCTAAATGGAATGGTACAAAGGTTTCTGTGAAGATTCTCGACAAGGATTGCTATTCAGACCCTGAAAGCATGTATGCATTCAGCAGTGCTTAAATGATCAAAAAATGTGGTCACTGAAAGGGAAAATTGTATTTGCTGTTTCAGAAATTATTAGTCTACTGCTAAGTTTTTTAGTAGTGAGAGATTTATTTCTTGTTCTTTACAAGTTCTAATTTTTAATGTCTGATGCATTTCTTTAATTCCCTGTCTTTGTATACAGAAATGCTTTCAAACATGAACTAATGATGCTAGAGAAAGTAAGACATCCAAATGTGGTACAGTTTGTTGGTGCTGTAACTCAAAATATTCCAATGATGATTGTTTCAGAGTATCATCCAAGAGTAGGAATCTCTCTCTATCCCATTGAATCCATATTGCTATCAAAATTCATACAACATTTATTTTGCACTTATATGTGTGTGTGTGTGTGTATTAATTTGATGAGCCTAAGATAATTAACTTTTATTTATTCAATGTTTTGATGCAACTTTTTTCTTTTCTTAGATGAATCATATTTCATGTCTATTGTCTACTGTTCACCCAAAGAATCTTAGCTTGACAATTGAAATGTCACCCAAATAATTTACTGCTAGAAATTTTCAGGGCGACCTGGGCACTTATCTTCAAAAGAAAGGGCGTCTATCTGCTTCTAAATCTTTAAGATTTGCTCTCGATATCGCTAGGTAAGTGTTGTTTCCTTAAGAATGTACCTAAGCTAAGTATCAACTATTGAGTCATTTTTCTGATCCTATTCAGCATGCATAGTGAGATGTTTCACATCATCTTACTTACCCATTTTCTGCATGTAGTGTTGATTTATATCTTTTTTTTTCAGGGGCATGAATTATCTTCATGAATGTAAACCAGACCCAATTATCCATTGTAGTTTACAGCCAAAGTAAGGAAACTAAATGCTTGAGTTTTGTAGGAGAAAAGTTGATGTTAAGTTCTGCACTTGTTGGGATTTGTGCTGTTCTTAATATTAAAATTTTGGTAAGGTGCCAGAAATATATTGCTGGACGATGGAGGCCTGTTGAAAGTTGCAGGTTTTGGTTTGCTTAGGCTGTCCAAAATCTCACCTGACAAAGCAAAATTGGTGCAGCCAGATGCTTATGACCGTTCGAGTATGTTATTTAGAATATTACATATGCATAGTTTTCATTTGAGACAGACCAAAATGTGGCATTATGATTCATCACTGATTTTGAGCTTACATTTGAAGATGTGTAATAAAGTGACATATACCTACTTGCCATTGCAGCAGATAGTTAATTGACTGTTTGATTGCAAATTGTAGGTTACTATGTAGCACCTGAGATTTATAGGGATGACATATTCGATAGAAGTGTTGATGTATACTCTTACGCACTCATACTTTATGAGGTATAACTTTTTTTCTGATATGTTCGTTATAGTAGCCATGTCTACATGTGTTTCTCGTATTAATTCTCTGACAAAGAAGTTGCCTCATATTTGCATGCAGCCATTTTAAATCGCTTTTAAACAGATAATTAGTTTGTAGTCCATAGTCCCACCCTCACCACCCCAAATAAATAACCCCATGTTTAATAACTATGAAGGTACAAACCAAAAGATATAACCTTGAATAGTCCAGTCAAGCTGACTTTTTATGATGGATTCAAAGTTTTAATGTAGTATCAAAGTTCATTAAGTTAAAATGTGCCATTTGATTCATGTACTACTCAAGTGAGCACACAGACTTTAAAATCCATCAATCATGTTTCCTTTTAACAGGATAAAACCAAGTCTTAATGCCAACCCCTAAGTTTTTCCTCAAATTTGTACACCTGATAGCCTGTTATAAGACATTTTTTGCTCATTGGCTTACAATGGATCCTTTAATTTGACTTCAGATGATGGAAGGATGTCCTCCTTTCCATCCAAAGCTTCCTGAAGAGGCGGCTAAGTTGTTATGTGTAGAAGAAAAAAGACCAACATTCAAGACAAAATCCAAGTATCCTCCTGATCTGAAAGAGTAAGATCAGATATGTTTCTGTTTTCAATGACTTAGCTGTAATCAAGCTTTTAGTGGTTGAAGTGAGATTATATGTATGCAATATAATGCTCTGAATTGATTAGAGCAGCTATGGTGTAGTGCTGTTTTCATATGGGGAAACAATAGCATATTCAATCACATTATGCATTGCTTCTGCTAAGTATTCCATAACAATATTGTGTGAACTGATGTGCTCCTCTCTTCTTGTCTTTTGTTTATTTTTTAATGGGGTAGTTGAGTTTGGGGGTTGGACAAGGCATGTGAAATTGGAGAAACATGTTAAGAAGCCCGAAAATGATACTTGAATACTTGCATTGTTAGTTTAGATGGTTTTCTGGAATCTTGAATATTCATATGCTAGTCTTATTTGTAAATCACTGTGGTTTCATTTATATCTAGAATAATAAAGTATGAAAGGCTCATATACCATGCCATGTGGATATGTTGCATATGGTAAAGCAGTGGCATAAACGAACTATGAAGGTATGAGGGAAACTGTGTAGTAGTTAGACCGGGTTGAGTCCTATATTTTGTATCTGAAGTTCCCATTTCAGAAAGCCTTGTATGCAAATTGAAATTGGATTGAAAAGATAAACACATTAAATCTTTCATTTATCTGTTTCAGAATTTATTTCTTTTTTAGGGTGAAATGATAGTTACCATCACAATTTGAAAGTGATTCTAGCATATAAAAGTTATAATGCTAACTTCAGAGTCCGCAGGATTATTCGGGCCAAAGGTCCCTGAACATCCCCGCGTTATAAAATAGAGTTAGAATTCTAGTATGCATTTTCTAGCACTTGTTGACAATGCGGTCGGGGGAGTAAGTGTGGGGTATAACTGTATAAGTATTTATAATTATTATATAAAATATTGGTACTTAGTTGCCACTTAAGCAGACATCAAGATTAACATGACATGATTATGGGATGATGGGAACCAACTCTTTTATCTTTACTCTTAATAATTTATTTGATGAATGATCTTATAGATGATTTACCTAGGTGTCAATGAGAGGCATGTTAATATCAGAATACCAATCTTGCAGTGGGACATGACTATAGCAAGTGTCTCAAGTCAACTCTTTTCTTTAAATACTTTCTGTGGATGTGAAAAAACCTATGACTATTCCTTCTTTAGATGGTTGTAACTGGAAGGGCATCCGGCGGAAAACTTCGCTGATATGCTATTTTGCATGAATTTGTAGTGTTGAAGTTTAAAGTATTAATGTGATGATGATGATGATTATAATTTCACATATGTTGGAACTTTTAAAAAGACATTCATATCCATCTCTAAAATCCACCTATACTCAGTTGAATATAGGACAAACTGAACAAACTCTAGAAATATCACATGCCTTTTTAATTGGTCTGAGTCCATTACAGGTTGATTGAAGAATGTTGGGATCCTAAACCTGCTGCTAGGCCAACATTTTCTGATATCATTGCACGGACTGATAAGATTGTTACAAATTGCTCAAAACACGGATGGTTGAAGGACACTTTTAAGCTTCCTTGGTAATGATTTGTTCACCTTTAAGCTTCATTCTCTAAGTATTTTATAATCGTCATTGACTTCTTTTGATCAAATGATCGCTGAAGCTACTGATCTTCTATGCGTACATGAGTTTCAATAAAAAATCAAACACACCCATTAACCAGAATGTCCCACTCGAAAGCAGCGTTTGGGAAGGGTGAGATGTAGGTAGGCTGTATCTCTAATACCCTTAAGGTAGAGGGTCAGTTTCCATAAAGCCCGCCTCGATGCGTGCCAAGGAGAAATACATGTGCTCTCAAACTCACAACTAATATGTGATAAAATAAAAAGGTGTGGACGGGTAAACAACAAAACAAGATAAACCTAGGACTTGGTTAATTGCTATGACACACTACGAACGTAGAATGCGCTTTTACCTATAGATGAACAAGAAGCTTGACTAGTCAAGTTTAATCCAAACGTAATGAGCTATCTGCCTATCTCTAAGAGTGGACTTTATTGTTTTAGTGAAGGTCATGTAGCTACTTTGTGATCCTGATCCGGCCAGATTCACATCAGTGGCTTCTTTGCATTTACGATCTAGTTTTGGAATTTTGATTTTACGAGTATGGTCTGATTTTGGCATTTTAATTTCCGACTAGTTCCAGATGTATAAAGTGGCTATAATTTTGCAGGTTATAAGGGACACGTTGAAATAATATTTATTATTGGGTGCGCGAGAGAGGTTTTTGATTGGATGGTTATTAGCTGCTGAAGAGAAACTTTTGGAGGGCTTCTATATCCAAACTAATCACGTAGAGACTGGGACCTTGCTGGCCTGGCAATTCAGACATGTTCTGCACGAAGGCTTCACATTGCAGATTGCACAAGTTTATTCAACGTTTGATCATCAACTATGGCCTAAAGTTCAGGATTTTGTATGACTGAAACTTTCCTCAGTAACTTTTAGCCAGCTGAACCTCTCTCTATCCATGCACGTATGATTTTTCAAGCTTGATTCTTACTTAGAAGGTTGCTTTTAGATCGTCAGTGAACAGGAAACATATGTATTATAACTACAACAGAAAATGATAATGATAAAAGAATGAATGCATGCTATTCATTTTATTTTGCATGATGGAACATCATCATCCATTCTCTTGCAATCTTGCCTCTTTCTTTGCGAGGTTACAATTTTTTTTATAAAATCAAAACTCGACTAAACAAACTTTGTGACTACATTAGTGCAACACCACACTCATGACTTATTAATTGTACAATCATTCTTTTATGATTACTTAATTTTGAATACGTTTATTAGCATTTTTTGTTTTCCATTACTGATGGTTTGTTTAATTTACATTTCAACATTAGTTGATTGTTATTGTTGTTGTTACCTATATATATGCTCAAATATTCTCATTATGACATTTAGAGCCCGTTTGGTAACACTAAATTTGGCTGAATTGGCTGATTCTGCTGAAATTTATGAAGTTCTGGCTAAAGTGACTGTATTGGCTGATTCTGCTGATTAATGAAAAAATTATATTTAAAATATTTGTTATTAATAAATTAAATAAAAAAACTATATGAAAAAATAGCTAAAATGATCTTCTACAGTAACTTCAGCCAATACAGCAGAAAAGTAACTTCAACCTTACTTTTTCTGCTTGTTACAAACTTCAGCGCGCGAAATCAAATGTTACGTGTTTGGTGAAAAAGCTGACTGATAAGCCTGATAAGCCAAAAAAAGGGTCACCAAACGGGCTCTTAGATTACAATACAAGTATCAAGTATGCCTACACTTATTTCACATTTTACATTTTACATACATCTTTGGAAATTTGACCATGTTTCCTTCTATTACACTCTTATCTTTATTTTGGATGTTTTCTTTCGGACTGCTTTGAGTCTGAGACCAGACTTAAAATGTTTTTACTTGGACTTAAAATTTGTCGGTCTGGTATGATCTAATTTGATCTGGTAAATGTCACTGGTCTCTGTGTATTTTATAATTATCCAAGTCTAGTCTGGTCTTGTCTAATCTGGTCTGAACTGGTTAGGTTGGGATTGAAAATAGTCCAAGCAAAAACATCCTTAAACATTTCTAGACCCGTTTTGTTTTGATAGAGTGGTGAATCCGGTAAAATTTCGCCTTTTTCTAATGTAGGCTTCCTTTCAACCTTGAATTTGTAAAAAAAAATGTCATCTTTTTAATGTTTAATCAATATAAATATTTAGTCATACCTTATAAAATAAGTATTTTAAAATGTATCTTAAAATAAACTTATACGTAGTAGAATATAAGTTACTCACATGTGCTCTTTTTCAGCAGTAATAGATTGATTTTCTTATTTACCAACACATGATTTTTACATTAATATATTAAATTATATACGGAGTATTAGATTAAATTGCCAAGCTTTCATATTTTGAAAATAAACATTGGGATAAACTTCATATTTAAACAATATATATAACTACTTTTATGCGTCCAAGTATTAAACTATGGTTACAGTTATTGGAACATAACTATTTTTACTAATGCATTTCATTTTTCGTATGTCTACTGATAGACATTACAAAGCCCACTACTCCAGAATGAATCTTGGAATCCCCTGATTAACCATTGAGGTTGTGCAACTCTGCCTCTGTTGCAACTTTCATACAATCATACCAAGAGTAAAATATCATTGAAATCTCCCATAAAAAGTCAAGGTTTATCTGAACACCCGGATATTCGCTTAAACAGTTCATACGAGTCACGTCTCCTGGTCCGTTCGTTCTGGAGACCCATAGTACCCGGTGAAGCGCCATTGTAGTTCATCAATATCCCACCTCACTGTACAGTCAATATAGTATGTTGTAAAGTTCAATACTTCCAAATCGATTCCCTACCTCCCTCCGCATGGGCACAACCCCGCGTTTTGACCGTTGCAGAAACCCTAATTGGGCCTGCACCTCCTCACACCTGCCTCAGTGTGCTTTCATCTCCATGAGAAACAAAACCCTAATTGTCGACCGGAACTTGCCCCATTGCCAAATTCTCTAATTCCCGACATTTTCAACTAAATATACTCATAATTACTCCTTCGTTTGGAGATTCCGACAAGTAAGTCTGGATCAAGGGCTGCGAGGCCGCACCACTGGGCACTGACCACCAAACTACCCTAGACAAGCGCTAGGATCTTCCGCCCTACTCATCAAGTGTTAAAAATCCCGATTACCAACTATAGTTAATTGATTCCTTATATCACATGAGTAAATGGAATCAATTTTGAAAAATTAGACTCCGTAGCATTTTTTCCAATGAAAAAACACTCATTTAATCATGTGTATTTTTGGAAACAAATAAAAAAAGTATGATCTAATTTGATTGCTAACTAAATATGGCATTAGGTTCTGATATATCTTTGCGCACGACATGAACGTCCAGATTGCACAAAAGTAAAGCTAACATCCAACCTGATCCCCATGCAATTCACGCACAACATTATTATACTTAAAAATGCATCTTATCATTTTGAATACGTTTGTACCTCGGTGTTGCTCCAACTTTCTTGAATTATCCCCATTTCCTCCTCATTGTATTCTCTTATGTCATTATGCTTTTAAGTGCAGTAAATGAAATGACAATCAATAGTCATGTGGTGACGTTCTCACAATTTCCTTCTCGTTACGATCTCACATCAAAAAATTAATAAGAGTCTTTGTCAGAGTCCTCTGACTATTATGTCATTGACACTTTTGGTACTCGACTTTTAATTTTTCAACTTTTAGTCCTTGAATATCATGCTAGAGACACTTTTGGTACATATCTTTCAAAATTTCCATATTTAGCCCTCCGACTTTCATTAAAATGACATTTTTTGTCCTTCAACTATTATAATAATAACATTTTTAGTATTCCATTTATTGTATCAAAATCACAGTGGAAGGGCTAAAAGTGTCAATTTGATAATACTCGGATGTAGGGATGGACTCGGGTCCGGGTCGGGCCTAGGCCCGGGCGGGTCGGCGGTTCAGGAGTGGTGGACCCAGGACCGGCCCGGGTAACCACCGAGTCCGGTCCGGGTCAAGGCCGGGCCCATTATCAAAAAAAAATTTCCCTCTTCCTAATTAACCCCCCTCCCACCCCCAACCCCCCAAACCACCCCAAATGGCCCAAAATACCCAGCCCACCCCGAAAATTTAAAAAAATTGAAAAAAAACAAATAGTTTTGGCCCGAACCGGGCCCGGCCGGATCGGGCCTTGTTTTGGGTGACCCGAGCCCGGACCGGAAAACCCACGGGTCGGGCCTACCCGGACCGGTCACTGACCGGGCCACTAGGTCGGGCCGGGCCGGAACAGTACCGGTCCTGGGCCGGTTCCGGGTCGGGCCACCCGGCCCGAGTCCATCCATACTCGAATGGCTGAATGTGGGAAACTTTGAAGTCAATGACTAAATGTGTCTAGCACAATAGTCAAGGACTAGAATTGGAAAAATTAAAAGTCGAGTACCAGAAGTGTCAATGACACAATAGGGTGATGCAGAGTTTTTGCATCAAGGTTTTTCATGTATTCATTAATCTAAAAGGTCGTATCCCAACCCCATTAACCCCACACACCTCGATCTGACATGGCAGATGAGGGTTGTTAATCATGATAACTCAACTAAACATAGAGGCTAGACCAATGCCACTACACACAAAGAGTTCTCCTCACTTTGAGAGGTTGCACCCGCTCTGCCGCTTGCAGGATTCGAGCGGCAGGATTCGAACTTAGATCATTGTTTCAAATTTTCACCCTTGTGAGTTGTGACCAACTAGAGCTACACATGTAGGCATGAAAATGGAACAGGGCGGGGTGAATAATGCAAGACCTAGACCCCCGCTCCATGACTTTACAAAATGGACTTGCCCTGCCCCGTGAGGTCATGAACCGCACAAGTCATTAGATATTGACTCACGATGTGGTAAGGTCTTCCACGCCCTTACCTCATCCCTTTTATACATTCCTATTTGTGTGAAACCATTATAACTTGAATTTACATAAAGTATATTTTCAAATAATTATAGAAGTACAATACAACAAAGTCTCAAAAATTAAGAAAAACCCATCTAGATTTGAATAGTTAATCTATCTATATTAATAAATACAACAAACAACATCCAAGCCTTAGTCCCAAAAGATATTGGGGTCGACTAACATGAATCGATACATGATATCACAACCAAAAGGAAAAGAAGGAATAAAGATAAAAAGATAAGCTATTATGAAAAGATAATATAAAAAAGATGACTATATAAAAATGATAAGATAAAAAGGCTGCAAATAATGCACATATATATACAAGGATAAAAAAAACTAGGAAAAAAAAGATGAGGGAAAAAGATTATCAAGATCACTCCTTCACGTGAATGCCCGCCCTCCACTTAGTTCTCTCCAAAGTCATGCCCTCATCCAACCCCAGAAGAAGCATATCACTTCGAACTCCCCTAACCCACGTCTGTTTGGGTCTTCCTCTCCCTCTCTTCCCTGCCTCTTCTCCACACATCTCAACTCGCCTAACAGGTGCATCACTCGGTCTTCTACGCACATGACCAAACCACCGTAGGCGCGACTCCCGCATCTTGTCTTCAATAGGTGCTACTCCCACCCTTTGTCTGATTGTCTCATTCCTCACGCGATCCTTCCTAGTATGCCCACACATCCAACGCAGCATGCGCATCTCTGCCACACTCATCTTTTGAATGTGACATTGTTTCACCGCCCAACACTCTACGCCATACAATAATGCAGGCCTAATTGTTGTCCTATAAAATTTACCCTTCAGTCTAGTTTAAATATAAATATTAATATGTAGTATTCTTTCTGTCTCATATTAAAGAATTTTTAATTCGCAACATTTCTTTCTCTTTTCTCTCTTCTCCAACACAACTATCCACCATGCAATTCACACTATCTTAATCCACATGCAAAAGCTATTTGGGGTATTATATTGGGACGAGGGGAGTATATTATAAGATCAATCAATTTATGATTTATTATACACACACAATCACACATATGTACTCCTTCCGTTTCTGAAACAAGTTCCACCTTTCCTTTTCGGGCAGATCCAAAATTAAGTTCCACTTTCAAACATTTCCTTATTATCTACATCAAAACAGTGTCAAACAGTGTCAAACAGTGTCAAACAGTGCCAAACAGTGTTCAAACAGTGCCAAACAGTGCACTCCACAGTAAAGTCAAATTTATTTTCTTAATATGTGTGAAGTCAAATGTGGAACTTCTTTAGGAATCGGAGGGAGTATATCTGTTGTACATAGTATAATTTTAAGAAATTGTATATTTATATATTGAGCAAGGTGGGGCACGAGTCAATACTAATACCCAAACCCGCCCAATTTTGCGCATGGTATGGGGTGGACCCACCCCATTTGCAAGATGGGCCGGACCCGTCCCAAATGTCTTAGGGCAACTGAGCAAGGCGGGCCCATACGAGTTACGGGCCAAGTTGTTTTGACATGCTTATTTTATTCTCATTTTATCAATTCAATATCAACCACATAAATTAACTCTTCTTAATAATCCCAATACCTTCTCTTGTACCAAACATAGTGGGATGGAGGTAGTTTGGGAATTCACAGTTTGTCAAGCTAATCACATTCCAGGGCGTCATTACAAACTTAGGGATAGGTTATAGTAAGTTCATACACTCATCCGAACGTACCAATAAAACTGCTATGGCCTATTACAGCTTGTCACCACCTTTATACAGAACCCTTATCAATTTAAAAATCTACATTCAGTACACCTAAATTTTTAATAAAATCCATCGGACTTAAAAATTTGTCACCAATTCCATATACAGTACACCCCCTCCTAAATCTCATTGTATTCATAACAATCTAGTAATCTACTTTTCCACTGTTACTACTTCCGCCCCTAATTTATATCTCTGCATTTTTAAAACTTGTGTGGAAGACATTAAAACAATGTCAACCATACAATCATTTTCTTAAAGAGGAAAAATGAGATACTTAAAGGGCAGAGAGAAAAAGAAAGAACGAAGATAATAAAAAACAAAGGGAGTACTAAATTAGGAAACTCACTTGGCATACTTGTATATATGGCCGGTGTGATAAAAGTAAGTTGGAATAATGATATCTAAGCATTCACAAATAGTAGTGTAAACAATGCTGAAAACCTTATTCGTTGTGGTAATATTTACGCAGTGCTCTTGACCTCTTTAATGGAGTGCAATGCACCACTCTAAAGAAGAAATTTATGATTAATTAAGATGTGTTACACTAATAATACATTACCTCCCTACAAGGCTACAAGCAATTGTGTTGCTAAAGAATTCCATGCTAAGGGGTTGTCTCAAGCAGGCTGCTGCACAGAGCATTAATTCACACTTCCATAAGTCTTTGCTGGCATCTATGCTTCCTCATAAGTGCAACCCTCCAAGCTCCAGCTCAATTGTGAAGTCGAAGACCAATTCAAGATAACAATAACAATAACAATAACAATAACAATAACAATAACAATAACAATAACAATAACAATAACAATAACAATAACAATAACAATAACAATAACAATAACAATAACAATAACAATAACAATAACAATAACAATAACAATAACAATAACAATAACAATAACAATAACAATAACAATAACAATAACAATAACAATAACAATAACAATAACAATAACAATCATCATTTTCATTTCATCATTTTCATTTACCCCAGTGCCGCAAAAGCTCCCACCTACGGTGGGGTAAGGGGGGTCGGATGTACGCAGTATTACCCCTGTACTAAAGCACAGAGAGACTGTTTCCGGATGACCCATGGTGAAAATCGCGTCCAAAATTGCATGTACTGACTGCTGCTCCATAACAAAGAAGCGCAGACAGTTTAGTGAGCCATTTTGCTTTATTCCATCATAATCTCAAGCCAAAAAATAATGAATCTTTGGCTCCATTGCAAATGATGGAAAACAATAACAATAACAATAACAATAACAATAACAATAACAATAACAATAACAATAACAATAACAATAACAATAACAATAACAATAACAATAACAATAACAATAACAATAACAATAACAATAACAATAACAATAACAATAACAATAACAATAACAATAACAATAACAATAACAATAACAATAACAACAATAATAATAATAATAATAACATGGAAAAGGAAACGGTACTGTTACATCTTGAGCTGGCTTAAGCCATAATTATTATACATTTTCCATAATCAATTAGTTACCTCTTCAGGTTTGATTACTTACTCAATTTTCCCCTTCCACTAATATTTATATCATTTTACATCATATAAGCATCCAATCTAATGAAAATTGTCTATAATATCCGCTTTTCAAAGTCAAATTTCTTCTCTTTCATCATCATATCATTATAAGTCATGATTGTTGCTCATGATTCCTCCATCTATACTACTCACAGATGAAATGTCTTTGAGAGCAGCAGGGAAGAGAGTAACGAGAAGCCACCACAGCTTATAATGATGAAGGTGAAGTGTTTTGACTTTTAAAAGAGCCTAATTTGGACAATTTATGTAGACTCGACAATCAAATTAGATAAATATTGATGGAAAGGGAAGTTGTAAAATAATCAGACACAATCGGATAGCTGGTTGATGGAAAGGGAAGTTGTAAAATAATCATTCACTATGGGTCATCCGGAAACAGTCTCTCTGTGCTTTAGTAAAGGGGTAAGATTGCGTACATCCGACCTCCTCTTACCCCACCGTAGGTGGGAGCCTTTGCGGCACTGGGGTAAATGCAAATGAATGAATGAATGAATGAATGAATCGGATAGCTGGTTGAATTTTGAAAACAAGAGGGGACAAGTGATTAAAATAATGAAATTTATTATTATAATAATAAGTTTCATATCAAATAATAATTTTCAAAACTAAGAGTCGAAAAAGACAGGACCATTACCACATAAATGACCTTCGAAATGAATGAAATCTGTCGTCGCTGTAGGTTGCCAGTTCTAATATGCCTCCACCTCCACTACTTACAGCTTTGCTTTGTGGATCTACTATTGTTTTGGTTGTGTCGTTCTCAGTTTCACTGATGTCTGCATCAACTTTTGAATTATTTGCTACACAATGTTTTTGCAGCCACCTATCAGTCTCCCACAGAACATGCATTATACTCTCCCTTGCAGCATAACCATGGCTCTCAAATGGTAGAATTACAAGCCGACAAAGCGCCCCATGACCTTTTAAGGCATTGAAGAAACGGTCTGACTGCATTGTCAAGGTTCCTGAATTGTTGTCCTCCTCTCCATGGATAAGCAGGATAGGCTTCTTAATTTTATTAGCTGACATGAATGGACTCATCTCAACATATGTACTAGTTGCCTCCCAAAGTGTTCTGTCCTCATTCTGAAGGGATGCAACAAAATATAAATAATATTGAACTGTACTTGAGAATCATAAACCCTAAGGGCTTGATTGGTTAGGGAATTTCATATGGGATGGGAGAGAAGGATTGATTTTTGTTTTACTAAAATGTCTCGGTTTGCTAGTCTTAGACTCGAAATAACTAGATGTTTAGTTAAATAGTGTATTCTATACATATTTTCACCTTCACTTTCTTTCCAACCATCTAAATGTAGGAATACGTTATATAAAAACCCCACCCCTCCCTGTTAGGCACTTAATCACCTTGGAGAGCCACACCCCAAAAGCTAGCTGTTAAGGTGGGAAAACCAGGCACTTAAAAACCCCACCAAGCATCCCATTCTACTCGGTGTGGTACTTTTGGTATCCCATACTACCTAGGTCTCTAACACACCCTCTCCTCCAAAATCCCTGAACCAAACAAGCCCTAAAGGAAACATATTAACTGACTATCATGCCCGTGCGGACATTAGGTATACAAATATGTAAGCTAAAGAGTGAACAATAAAATATACTACGTATATGAAAAAATTGTAATCTGCTGCCAACTGGTGATCTTATGCCAGGTTACTACCTGAAATCCAAAAGGTGTTAGTGTTCTATTATAAGCTCCGGAGCGTGCGATTCCACAACAGAATAGATGTGGTGCATGAGCAAGGAGGTTTGCCGTCATAAATGCCCCATAAGAATGACCACCAACAGCAATTTTGTTTGGATCAGCCACCTGAATTACAGAAGCACCAAAAGGGTTAAATCATTTTAACAATTCCACCACCAACCTTGAAAAGAGAAGAATAATACTTACTCCACGGCGAACAACTTCTTCTACTGCAGCTTCTGCACTCGCAACAAGTTGTTCAACATAACTGTGGAAACAACATAATTCTTTAAATGAGTGAAGCTTTTTGTTTACAGATAATATCTTAACTCTTTTTAATTGATTCGAAGAAATGCATTTTTCATCATTCATTTTTAGAGAACACATCACCTATCATTTGCCTCTTCATTACCCTCCCCTATGATTGGTATGGTTGGTCCAGATAAGATGGCAAACCTGCCAAACCAGAGAATGAAAATCAGATCAAGCAAAACAACCCGGAATGGGTAACATGAATCAATATTATATATTAATATCTTTCATTTCTCTCTCCATCACATCAGCTAATTTCTCTCTCTTATCACATCAACTATCAATTAGTTATTACTACCTCCGTCCCTTAAAACTTTGTCAAGTTTGACTGGCACGGGGATTAATAAAGTAAAAACTGTGTGGTTGAGGTTTATGCAGAGGAGAGAGAATTAACTGAAACCACGAATTCTTTACTTAAAAAAGGAAGTGGCAAAGTTAGTGGGACATCCAAAAAAGGAAAGTTGGCAAAGTTTTAAGCGACGGAAGGAGTATATTTTACCTTTCCTCTCTCCATTTAACCTACTATTCTGAATAAGTGAGCCTAGAGCTACGATGGACTTCATATTGGGACAGACGGAATATTATATATTGGCCAACAAAGTATACCTCCTTGATAACCAAAGCAATGCAGAAGTTGACCCGATGCCAGCAAATTCGTTAGGAGAACCACGAACTTGACTTGCTGCATCTTTGCTTTTAAATTCTCCAGGGTACGACCAGACAAGACATGGAAGAGGTCCATCCCTTGATGGATCATAACCAGGTGGAAGATAAAGGGTTGCAGTGAGTTGAACTCCATCCTTCCGTTGGTACCTGATCATCTCCTTTTGCAATGATGCCAACTGGGGATATGGATGGGGGAAATCTGTGATCTGGCGTGCTTTTTTCTCAGGCCAGCTCAGAATGTAATATTGAGTGTTCTCAGTTTTGGATTCTTTAGAAGTTAGAATTTTCAATTGATTAACAGACAACTCCCCTTCAGCCTGATCAGACATCAAAGCAACTACACTCTTATAGTATTTTTCCTTGTCACTCTCCCATATCCTTTCCTTATTGCCTGTATTTCTGAAAGTGCTGGTATCAGTAAAGTCGTCCTACTAAAAGGACACAAATTAAGAAGAAGCAAACCTACATGTCAAATAGATCCAAAAATGGGATGTTTCCTTCTGGTGTAGCACCCTTTCCATTTAATAAAACATAAGTGCCTTCCTCGTCTTCCTTCTTCATCTTTGCAATCACATAAGTCCCAGCAGGTGTTCTCCTCATCATGGGAGAACCGGGATCAGAATAGACATCTTCTGATGACCGATCAAACAGTATTAGTGGGTTTACATCCTTGGATCCGGGAGATAAAACCCAAGTTCTAACCCTCCTTGTCTTGTACCATGACTCATAGACCAATGCAAGTGAATCATCACACCACGAAACCCCTCTACACAGGTAGGGAAAAGGACTCACATGAGGACCAGTGATTAAATTCTTAGCAGGCATGCAAACCTCTAATAAAGTTACTAGCCGAAATTTAGAGCATCATCTAATAGCGGAAGGCATCATTAGGACAACTTCTGGTGATGCATATGAACTTACATTCCATACGCTGCTCACAGTAAGAGGTAGCAATGGTAGCATATATGTTTGCAGTACTTTATTGCCTTACCAGGTGCCTCTGTTGTTTTAGTAATTGTTTTACTAAGAATAGACGCTTGAATGCAAAAATTGCCACAAGTGGCCCACAACTTTAATGATGTGTGCATATACATCTATAAACTAATTGAGCTGGTAAAACTGTATCAATATGGGTAATTGACTAAGAGAAAACTAATATATGTACCCATAACGAAGATCAAGTTTATGCAAGATCGTTGGCTGTTCATTTTCACGTGGCTCAGCAGTCTGCGAGTAGATTATATCACGTGGAGAGGCTTCCACCTTAGCATCACCACCATCTTGTGTCTCGACCCTTATCATTTCACAACATCAACATGCATTTAGTGCCAATACCAATTATTTCCAAATATTACATTAGACCTAACTCCTTTGAGGGTGCCATTTGTTCGATTCACATACCTTATTTATTTGTATCAAATACTGATTTTTACTTCACATCAGTATGTATCGCTTCGGTTGATATTTTAAACTAAAAATAAAAAATAAAAACCACATCATCTAAAATTTGATACATACCAGTAGAGTGTTGAAGGCTTATCAGCTCTCCAGTTGATTGAGCGCATCCCCTTTCGCACGCTATTGATTGCAATAGGAATGTCTTCGGCAAGGGGCAAATCACAAAGCTCTCTAACAAATGCCCCATCAGCTGTCCATATATCAACCTTTTTAGGAAATCTTCCACATGGTACAATAAAAGAAAATGGCCTATGAATTGAAGTGATGAGAACCAATCTCTCATCTGGAGAGGGGTCCATTGATGTATATATGGCTGGTGGCCCAACAGGCTTCACTGCCCCATCTAAGGTAGCCAAAACCAGCTGTGAGGTGGCATAGTACTCAAAAAGATCCTCATCGTATTCATCTTTGAGAAGATCCTGATAAGTTCTAGCTTGAATAATACTCTGCTGCTCATTAGATTGAACCTTAGGTCCAAATGGAACCAAGGGCTTCATTGGTGGATCCCCACGACACAATGGAATAGTACAAACCAACAGAGTTGCATCATTCACCCAAACAAAACTGAAAAGTAGCAAAGTAACAAAATAAATAAACATATCATCATAGAATCATATGATGACATGCAATAGTCACCATTAGGTATAATCATATACTTTCCACAATAGTTTAGTATAAGGTAATATAGTAAGCATCTAAGCATACAAGTGATGCAGACGTGCTCATGGCTAGACCAGCACAGAAAGAGATTTCACAGCATTAGTATGAGTTTTGTGTTAGTTATATGTTATGTGTGTGGTGAGATATGATAGGCTCATCCTCTAAAAGCCTATGGGGAAAGCGTCCCATCCTTGAAAACCCCTAAGATACTTAACCTTGTCAACCCCTTATGCAATCAAGCTTTGAATTACATGTTTTATTGGTTAAGTTCTTGAGTAAAACCCCTACTTATATATTCACAGTGGTCCTTTGTTAGCAAATAAATAGAGTCCGAGACCAATAAACAGTATTGTGCAATATTGCTATTAGGAACTGCACTAATAGGAAATCACTTCTAGTACTACTAATAGGACACTAATACTCATACAACAACAACATCCAAGCCTTAGTCCCAAAAGATATTGGGGTCGGCTAACATGAATTGATACATGATATCACAACCAAAAGGAAAAGAAGGAATAAAGATAAAAAGATAAGCTATTATGAAAAGATAATATAAAAAAGATGAATATATATAAAAATGATAAAATAAAAAGGCTGCAAATAATGCATATATATATAAGGATAAAAAACTAGGAAAAAAAAGATGAGGGAAAAAGATTATCAAGATCACTCCTTCACGTGAATACCCGCCCTCCACTTAGTTCTCTCCAAAGTCATGCCCTCATCCAACCCCAGAAGAAGCATATCACTTCGAACTCCCCTAACCCACGTCTGTTTGGGTCTTCCTCTCCCTCTCTTCCCTGCCTCTTCTCCACACATCTCAACTCGCCTAACAGGTGCATCTCTCGGTCTTCTACGCACATGACCAAACCACCGTAGGCGCGACTCCCCCATCTTGTCTTCAATAGGTGCTACTCCCACCCTTTGTCTGATTGTCTCATTCCTCACGCGGTCCTTCCTAGTATGCCCACACATCCAACGCAGCATGCGCATCTCTGCCACACTCATCTTTTGAATGTGACATTGTTTCACCGCCCAACACTCTACGCCATACAGTAATGCAGGCCTGATTGTTGTCCTATAAAATTTACCCTTCAGTCTAGTCGGCATACCTCGATCGCATAGAAATCCTGACGCACTCTTCCACTTCATCCACCCTGTTCTGATTCTATGGGATACATCTCCATCTAACTCACCGTCCTTCTGAATTATGGAGCCCAAGTAACGGAACATATCGCTGACTGGTATCTCCTTACCATCCAGAGTAATTCCGCTATTACCACTACTTCTACCTCCACCAAACTAGGACACTAATACTCATATTTCAAAAAATATAATATTCTAAAGATCCCTTGCGTGCTTAACAAAGCACTTGCTCTAGGCTCATTGAAGATTTGTCCAAACTCCAAATGGTAATATCATGCAGAGGACCCTTCGAAAATATTAAGTTCATTTCATTTCAATTTGAATAGCCAACCTAAGTGATATTGATGTGGATCAAATACGTTTGCCCACTTTGGGTCGAACACAACCAATGACTGTCTGACTCCATTCAAGCAGCCCACTCTTGGCATTGATGGAATGTGGAGTCTTACCGATGTGAAATATAAAACAAGCAGGAAAATTGTGGATGTCAAAAATGTTATGCTGGTCAAAGGTTGAGGTGTGGGTCAACCGTTGCAGTTGGGTAAGAAATCCCTCATTAAGGTCACCTTGAGAGTGAGGAAAGTGTCGGCGTGTGAAAGTGTGCTCCGGAAATCTCAGATTAGGAAAAATAGAAGGGGACTTGAAGGCCCGTGAGATGGTGAGTGGGACAGCTACTCAGCTACTCCAGCTCATTGGAAAACGTAAAGGCAGTGAGAACAAAATCTGGTAAAAAAATGGATCTCACACGCATGACTTTCCTATTCAGTGATGGCAGTTTGTGGTGGCGAGTGGAATCTCCAAGGGCAGTGCCATGATTAAAGAGAGCAAGAGAACTTGTGCGGCTTGATCAAGGAGGATTACAATGCCTACTCTATATGAAGGAGCACAAGTCCTAAAACAATGTGTTGGACAGCATATCTACAAATATCTTAAGAAATTTGTATAAGGGTCTAGGACAATGGGATATGATTCACAATTCTTATTACTGCTTCAGAAATTCATGGTAGATTGGTAGATCAAGCCAACAGAATCAATCATTGGTTGCTGCTATTCAGAATATTCAAAAAACACAATCTTCGGTCTTCTATTTATTTACAATTACGGCTTCATTGGACAAGATCCAATACCAGGGGTCTTAAAACTCCTACTCTCCCTTACATTGAAGTTCATTTATTGCAATGAGAGTGCACTTAGGCCACGCGCATTTTGAGTCAACTGTCTAAACTCTGAAGCCTCTACAACTCTGCCTCTTTCGTGGCTTCTCTCACCACGAGAGAATAAGCATATCACAAAAGAAGAAGATGAAATTTGGATTCGCCTTGCAAAAAAAATTATTAAACCTCTTGTTCATATTAGCTTCAGATGAATATAGTATAAACTATAAACATAATCAACCAACTCAGCAGTTAGTAATGGCACTGTTGCACATGAAACAAAAGGAAAATATGAACCTTATCCCTGTATAATATTACTCCCTCGATCCCCAAATTATCTGTTCAATTTCCTTTTCATCTATCTCTAAATTATCTGCTCATTCCTTTCAAGAAAAGAATTGAGTGTGGTTGATGTTGTTTCTTTCATTTATAATTAAAACTCAACCACGCAGTTTTATTTTCTTAATAAGTGTGCCAAAAGAAAATGTATAGCTAATTAGGGGATGTATGGAGTATATAATATTTAGAACTACAAAAAAGATAATGGAGAAAAGGCAAGTACCTGTCAAAAATAGCATTTAGGTACACGTTTGGAGACTGGAAGAGTGGTCTAGCAGATCCTGTTTCAACATCAGCAACCCAAACCTTCAACTTACTACTGTTGTTCGCCTCCTATAAGAGCAAAACAGCTTATAGATCAATAGATCATACCAATCCAGGACAAGGATTTATAAAATATATGGATTCCCATGTACAGGTGAGTACAGATCAAGATGATTTCTAGTGACAGATAAGCATTAGGCAAAAGCAACTGTGAAGCTAATTAGGGGATAAAGGCTAATAAGGCATTAAACAAGGACGAAAAGAGTCAACATGCATAACTCACAGTATAAAAAATACCTTTATTGAACTAATAGCAAATAGATGAACTAGTATGAGTAACCAAAATCCATCTATACAGTAAATGTATTGTCATGTATAGGTCAGTACAGGACAACATAATTCCGGGCGGCTGTTGCCTGATAAAGCCTTAAACAAGGAACTAAAAAAGTTCAAAATGCATCAAAATTATATGTTTATCGAACTAGAAATAGATGGACAATGGAATGAGGCGCCATCTGTAACACTGTAATAAGCCAATGAATGAAGTACCTCATCAACTCGAACGCTGAAGGCTAAATAAAGACCGTTATTTGACCTTCAATGAAATAAAAATAAGATGAGATTTTTCTGCAGAAATGTTCAGTCCTGTCTTTGAAAAGGATTGATTACAACGTAGTATAATGGAACTTTAGTATATTAAAGCATATGCACGAAGACAAAAAATGCCTTCATGAAAGTACCATGTAAGAAAATTGATTTTAGCCCCTTCTGGAAGACCGTGAATCTCTTTTTCGGGTCCAAGGGTACCATCCTCCATTAACCGGTGGATCCCTATGCCAGTGTAAAATGACCTAGAAAATGAGCATTTTGAATCAGTGTATATTATGTACAGATTCTTAAGCTCTGCTTCAAAATAAAAGATGCTACTTGCAGAATAATATAACAGGTAGTGTGTATGCTGAAGTTAATGACATGAACTTTCTCAAGACTTACATACGACTCCGGCAGTTGCATTTTCCATCAATACGGATACCAGCAAGTTTCTCCTCTGGCCTTGCTAAATCTGACAAGGGTGGTAATGATCTTCGTTTAAGGAATAGTATTTTATCCCTTTGAGGAGAGAATGATAGTACTGGAACAGGTGGAGCATCTACAATATCTCGAATCTCTGGTGGAGGAAGACGATACCCAGCGCCTGATGCTAGTTTAAAGTAAGTGGCAAAGTCATTGTGAGAGAAAATACAAATATCGTATAATAGATATTCAATAGAACAACTGAAGCACTTGAGATGAATCAGAACTAGATTATTGATATACTGATATACTCCATACATCAATATAAAGCTTACACATCTGGCATTAAACAGTATATGCAAATACTTTTTGTTAAGCATAGGGTTCTGTAGGATGCACATAACTAACGAGAAAAATTATAAGAAGAAACAGGAAAGCCATCAAGGATCAAGTAATTTTCTTTGAGCGAAACCTTCATGAGCATCGTATGGAGCGGAAGGATTATCAAAAGCAGCTCCACCAGGGTCCTCGTTTCTAAAGGCACTGACGGAGACGTGATGGATAGGAGATGGAGAGAGGGCGGCCATGGTGGTAGTTAATTTGAAAGAGTTGGGCTTTCCTGAAAAAGAGCGGATTGATCGAAGGGGTTTGGGACAGAGAGGGCGGGCGGTGGGGTAATAGGAGAGTGAGGTTTTGAAGGAGCGAGGGAGGAGAAGGGGGCGAAGTGAGGTGAGCAGAGAGGAGCGGGGATAATCGGAAACGGCTTTGTGGATGTAGCTCATCATCATTGTGTTCATGTCCCCATCCAAACAATACTATTTTTGACAAAAAGTCCCCCAAAACAAGATGAGTTGTAAACTTGTAATTGAAGTGGGCATAAGTTGAGTCCGTTTGGTAGCACGAAAATAGGTTATTTTGGCTGATTCTGTTGAAATTTATGAAGTTCTGGTTGAAGTGGCTGCATTGGCTGATTCTGCTGAAACAAGAAAAAAATATTTTTAAAATATATTTTATTAATAAAATAAAGAAAAAATCATATGTAAAAATAGCGAAAATGATCGTCTACAGTAACTTCAACCAATAGAGCCAGAAAAGTAACTCCAACCTTACTTTTTCGGCTTATTACATAATTCAGCGCGCGGAAGCAAAATTTACGTGTTTGGTAAAAAAGTTGGTTGATAAGTCTGATAAGCCGAAAATGAGGGTTGCCAAACGGCCTCTAAATCAGAGCTTCTTGCTCTCATTCTTACTAGTATAGTACCCGTGCATCGGGATAAACACAGAACAAAAGAAGTATATAACCCCATATACTACTCGAATTTTTTTCTTTTGAAGAAATATAATACCTCCATCCCGAATTGATTTGCAAAATTGATTTTTCTTGGTCAAACAGGTTCATTTTATTTACTTAAATAGGATGTCAATTTTTTATTATATTCTAATTTAGAGTTTGCATCTTTGATGAGACTTTATGTAAATTTTAATTATTAAAAATTGAATTAATTATCGATATGGAGGGTTTAACTTCAACATTGATTGACCAAAAAATGTTAAAAAAAATGTTTAACTTTGAAAATTAATTTGGGAGGGGGGAGTGTCTATTTTGACCCATAACTATATTTAAAAATACTCTGTCAACTCTTAAGCCCAAGATATTGTACTACATAGTAAGGAGTATTGTTTATTCAAATTTCAACCGATTTTGCATTCAATAATTCAACTAAAGATTTGATTAATCAGAAGTTAAGTGTTCTCATGCTCAGGAAAATGCTAATTTTACTAAGTTATATTGTGTATATCAACATTAATGGAATTTCAAAAAGTGAAAGTCAACTGGCTCCTAAATCGTTATACATAATTTTTTACATTCAATAAATGATAGTCATACATATTAGTTTGTTTCGCATAGTTTATAAAATCCGTAGTAGTAGTGTCTCTTAAGTCTTACATAAACTCATTAGGTATCAAAACTAACCATTTGAAGAGTTGCGCTAGACATTTGAAGAGTCTGGACATATAACATACTCTTTATTATACATAGATACTCAAGGCGACATTTTCCTAACGCTTACCAACCCAGCATCGGCAAGCGGCATCACAGAACAGACATGCTCCAAGTCAAATATCCATCTTCCCACAACTGCTTCTGTATGGTAAGAGTCTCCCAGCTCATCACTTCGATCAACATCGGGCGCTTTCTCTCGCTCCCTCCCTACTGATCAATAATCCTCTGCAAAATCTCATCACCGCCATGACCCCAAAGCCGTCTCATCAACCACCACTATCACTCCGGTCGATCTTCAGATTATTTCTCTTCACTGGCAAGTGGCGCCTTAAACGAAGAAAATTATTGTCTTGCAAGCCAATGTTGCGGAGCAATCTCGCCGTTAGCAGAGACATCACGACATTCATGAGCCTATAGCAGAGGTTTTGAATCCTCTGAGCCTATATATAGAGTATGGATGCATATATCTATACACATGCTTAATAAAATCATTTAATGATTTTATGATCCGTACATATTTTTTCTTGGTCTTAATATTAATGATATAAGTAATACTACATATATTATATTTTCGATAAAAATGATTTGATTTTAAGAACATTTTTTGTCTAATAAGTCAGTGGACGGTATGTAACAACCCATAACTACAAATTACAATGAATTTCAATCAACTTTTTCCATCTGAATTTGTTGTTAAGAGGTCAGAAACTAAAGCAGATGCTAACATTTCTTTAGGCAAATTAAAATTTAGAAAATGAATATCTGAGCTCGTATACACTAATATGGTAAATTGAAAATGATATCCGTATATGTGGAGCTGTGCCTTGGTGTCTTATGTCGATAGTATATCTTGATAAGGATTTATGATACTCCTAACTCTGTATATAGTGGCATCCACCTTGATTACAATAATTGCTCTAGGGAATTTCAAAAGGCACTCGAAAATTGATCCTAATTATTTTTTTATATTGTTTTGAAAGGAAAATTGATCCTATTTATTACTATCCGTATTTGGAATTAAAAAAAAAAACTATCCGTATTTGGAATACTAAAAGTCACTATAATTACTGGTTGTTAACGGCCCTAGTCTTTTAGTATTGTGTGCAACATATGCCGCCCAAGTTTTACACAGATTTTGAATTTTAAAATTCAGTTCGTCTGTCCAAGCATTAATTAACTCAAAAATTAATCAATCAATAAAAAAGCTAGCTACAGTGTTCCCGCCCAAATTCCCTCCTAGACTCTTTTGTTACTCCCTCCGTTTCACAATCTTTGACACACTTTCCTTTTTTGGTTGTTTCACAATCAATGACACACTTTCTTATTTCCTTATTTGGTAAACAAATCTTTACCAAAACAGTGCAAAACAGTGCAAAACAGTGTCAAACAGTGTTCAAACAGTGCCAAACAGTGTTCAAACAGTGCCAAACAATGTACTCTACAGAAAAATTTACCCCTCGGTAACATTTTTTCCTTAATTCTTGACAAGTCAAACTGTGTCAAAGATTGTGAAACGGAGGGAGTATTATATATCTATAGATTACTTATGGCTTATTCTTATTTTATTCAAATCAAATCAAATAAGATCAGAAAGATTCAAATCAGATCATAAACATTTCAATCAGATCATAAGCATTTAGATAAAAAAGATTCAGATTATAAAAGTTCAAACATGATTTATCACTTTTATTATTATTATTATTATTATTATTATTATATTAGTATTATTATTATGATTATTATGCTTATTACTATTATTTTTATTATTATTATACAGAGTAATTATAATTATAGCTACAATTATAGAAATAAATATTATAATTATAATTACAATTATAATCATATAAATAATTATAATTAAAAATATAATTACAGTTATAATTATAGCTACAATTATAATTTGAGTGATAGGTATAATTATTATAATTTGAATTTTAATTATTATTATAATTATAATTATAATTTTTTTATATTTATGATTATAATTATAGAAAAATTCAAATCAAATCATATCAGAAGGATTCAGATCAGATCAGGCTTAAAAAGTTCAGATCAGAAACATTCAAATCAAGTGAAGAGAACAATTTCTTAGTCTAGCTAATGTTAACGTCTAGTATGGATGTTTTTATTTGGATTGTAATTATCTAGTCTAATCTGATCTAAACTGGTCTGGTCTGATAAATGTCTTGTCTCTGTGTATTTTATAACTATGAAAGTCTATTTTGTGTATTTTATAACAAAATGGCATACACTTCTTTACATATTCATTGCTGATTTGATGGTAATATCCAATAAGATCATAATGCTATTCAATGGGCACCAAACGTGGCCATGCTTGTCACGGCGTCGCCTAGTCTCCGACTAGGCGTCCTGGCGCTAGGGACTGCTCGCCAACTTCACTCGCCTTGTCAGATAAAGAGTATTCGTGAATGGCGTCATCTATGCGCTGTTTTGGTGCCGAAGTCCTCGCCTTTTTGGGAAGTAAGACCGCTATGGCGCGGGCCTAGAACCCAAAGTAAAAATAGATTTAGGCTTTAATTAAAAGCAAGCTCATAGTAATCTTCCTTATTGACGATTCGTTGCCTAAAGTCGTATACCCAAGCCAAGTCGCAGTCACGTAGAGTTGCATGAAGCAGACGAACAACTCCACGAAGAAGACAAACTCACAGGTATCGCCCTCCTTCAGTCCCTCGCTCGCGGAAGCAGAGTAGCAGACAACTCCCCAGTTCCCAGATCCCGATCTCTTCCTCTTGGCTTCATTTTTTTATTAATTTTATTAATTAAGTTGTGTATTTTATATATATGTATCAATATATGTGTGTATATACACTTCTATATTACAGAATCAAGATATATAATATGATATAATGATATACCCAACCTATGAGACTTCTATTTTATTAAATGTTATAAATTATAAAATAATAAACTATTAAAATAATCATAAAAATTGGTACATACTAATATATACTATGTATGATATACATATTTTGCATAGTTTAATTATATATATATATATATATATTATATAATTATATACATAATTATATATATAAATATATAGGGAACTTGTCGCCTAATTATCGCCTAGGCGGGCGCCTTATCGCCTAGGCGATATGGCGGTCGGCTGGCGTCGCGACTCGACTTACCGCCGTGACAAGTATGAATGTGGCAAAACCAGAAAAATGTATAAATGGATGCTTAGTAGGACAATAAGACGAGATTGTTGTCTTTGTTCATACATTAGTTGAAAAAGTGAATGCCCAAGTACACTTCATTTGTTAAATTAGTGTTTCTTTATGTATATTAGGTTGTTGATTGCTATGCAATTTTCGCTCAAGTAAATAGTACATTCACCATGATGGATTTTGTGTGAGATCAAAAACTTAGGTGTGGTCTTGGTCATAGTCCTCAGATTGACTACACTTTCTAAAGGTACGTATAATACTTCCAAATACCAATCTTGTTGTATAGGGAAAAATAATTTAAATATCTCAAACTTTGAGAGGGTGTGAGATTAGCAACCTAAATTTGCAAATGTAATATATATATATATATATATATATATATATATATATATATATATATATATATATATATATATATATATATATATATATATATAGGGAAGAGATCAAATAAAAAGAGGTTCTCCCGTGCAAAGTGCGAACAATTGCACTTTTTCTTCATCGCGTTGCACTTTTGCGTGTTTCTGTTGCACTTTTTCACGATGGCAAAAAACTTCGGTTTAATTACGAAATTGTCACCGCGTTTTTTATCAAATTTAG